GAGTAGGGCCACGAAGGGCTAAAAACGGCCCTATATCAGAAATTGACGAAATTACTGCAGAAGGATCACACCAGTGTAGTTCATAAAACGATAACCATTAGACTTGTAACTGTGTTTGTATAATTTTCCAGGGCGTCAGAAAAGACAAATTAAGGTATACAATGGTATTTTAGCCATTTGCGCGTAACGTTAAAATTGTTTTCATTAACGTTCTAGTAACTTTAAAATCATTTTACCACAAGATTTTTTTTACAAAATATTTCTTGAATCTCGTCCATATATCTTGTTTTGTTAAGTTTATTAACAGAAACTTACTAATATTAAGGTTCAAGCTGCACATAAGCGCTTCAATTAAATTTTGTATAAGTGGCACGAATACTCATTTTCTGTATTGATAGTTCTATCGCATAGATACAATTAAAAGTCGTAAAGGATTTTAAAACATAAGCAATGAATGTCTTCTATTTGGCAGAAGGAATTTAGATTGAAAGCTGTAAAATATATTGGCGAGCGAAGTACAGTCGTAAAAAAGTATGAGGATAGTTGATCACACCACATCATCTTATTTGTATATGGAAAGAAACATGTGATTCACTGAAACATAGAAAATTTTATTTTCTAGTAAAGAAGTAAAAGATGAAAACACAGATAAAGATAAACATTGTGTATAGACAGTACATAGCATTACATGTACATGTACTTCAATAATCATAGAACACATTATAATTGTACAAAAGTCATCAGACACCAGAACCACACGTGCACTCATAAATATCATTCTCATTCCGGAGGATTACATGCTTACTCTCAAAGCAACATTCAGAATTAAACACTTGAATGAACAATAATTTTATATAATACTGCCATTCATACGTCACTGAGCACATTACATAGTACTGCTATCTCTAATTGTACCTAAAGGGCATGAAATATGTAGTCATCTGTAAAAATTGAAATAAAATTCTTTCAAATGGTTCAATGAATCCTTTTTATATTTTCCCAGAACTTTTTTTACTAGACAAAGCAATAGTTTAAAGGTAGTGGCTATTTTGCCGGCGCCGTCAAAACTGAAAATATGCAATTTTGCCAACTCTCGGTAAGCGGAAGCCAACATGTCAGTAAAAAAGATTTTGTTTACAGATATGCAATTCAAAACTGACTATTATTTAAAAACTACATTTAATTTAAACATTTTTGATTTTGAAGCTATGTGATTGATTTTTTTAGATTTTTGTCTTTCATTTTTTTTACAGCATACATGTAGTTTAAAAATCTGAGATTTTATTCTTATGCATATATGTAGCATAAGACTGATTTTAGAAGTAAATTCAACTACATGTTTTGATATGATTTCATTGCTACACATGGATGCTCAATAGTTTTTATTTTTTACAAATTCTTCTTTTCTCTTGGACTCATAAATGTTTTTAAACGATTATATGTATATCAAATATTGTGACATTTATCTTATTCAACTATATGTCGAATAATAATTTAAGATGACCGTCGGCAGTTTTCAGAAGGTCGTCTCGATGGTTAATTAGATGGCGTCCAGACTTAAATACACACGAAATGCTGATACATACTATCGAGTCTATGCATCGTAAATTGTTTATTTTATACTTTTTTTCAATTTGGATATACGTTTTAGTATGTTATAAGTCGAATATGAGAATTTGAGTCAAATCGGTGAACACGAATTTGACAGCTAATACCCTTTAAGTTTTAAAAAAAAAAACTGAAATTCTTTTTTAAGGTTTTCACAATTGTCAATGTATTCTTAATTAGCTTTTATTTTGTAATCTTATCTAGTCTTGCTCGTGGTTAAAGTGTTCCAGTATTCCACATACAACTATCATTCTTATCTCGAAAAAAATTCGAGTGTACTTTGTTATTATTTTTATTATCATTTGGTCAAATTAAACAGATGCATGCCTCAATCCGTATGAAAAAAAGAAGATGTGATATTATTGCAAAGAAGACATTCAACCAGATACTGAATGACGTGCATGGATTCATTTTAAAACTAATATAAATCCATGAATGTAAGTTTTTTATTTGACGTTGATTGTAACGGTAACCATATAAGTGTATGTAAGCTGCGTCAATTCAAGTAATGTATTATCTATAACTATAATACATATACAAGATCAATTATTTTCTTCTATATATAAAAAAGGAGATGTGTTATGATTGCCAATGAGACAACTCTCCACAATGTTTGTTTTCTTTAAAGTGAAATGAAATGTGAACTATTTCTCATGGATATGTTATAGTAAGCTATAAAAATGTTTTAAGAGTTTTCAAAAAGTTTGCTTAGTTGCATAAAGTAAGATATAAACAAATAGGTTTCAAAAAGATGAGCAAGCGGAATACTGAGATAAACGTCACCTACAGCTACCTAACAATGATAAAATTAATATTCTATTCTTCAACTACACTCTGCTCACTGTCATTTTCGTCCATGGCATGTGGGATAAATGCTGCTCCTCAATTCTGGACTCCATGTGTGATGTCCAGATTATGTCTGGTATACCCTAGATACCAGGATATAGAGGTAATGTGCGCAAATTAATATGTTCTCGTTCAGAATATGCATCTAACTTGCCGCTGGACGTTAAACAATCATCAATCATCATGAGACAAACAACTCATGTAGTAAAATGGTGTGTTTCTTTGATATTCAATTTTCTTTTTTTTTTTCCCCCAAAAAGTGAAATTATAGACGCGTAAATATCTTCTCAAAAGATTTTAAAATCTTTAATTATTTATTAATTAATTATGTTTAAAGTCATTATTGTACTGTAAGTTTAGAGGATATATGATTGATAGTTGTTTGACGAACGTCCAGTGGCGAATACATGCATATTTATGACGGAGAGCAATTTAGAGAAATCTATTTCAAACAGGCAACAAGAAATTGCAAGTGTTGTCATTGAACACAAGAGAAAATTCTGACAGTGTATCTAAAAGGAAATTTGTATTAAATTTTTATGTTGACACCCATATCGATCTGCTGGGTGTAGAATTTTACGGAAAAAAACTACGACTCTATAATTTAAAACTGTCATATTTTTGTTTGCATAGCACAGACTGGACTAATTATTACAAAATAACGTGGAACAGAACTTTAAAATAATTTGCAAATTAATAATGTAAGCCACCCGAGAGTATCTTGTCCTATATTGGGCAGTTTACATACGAACACTCATAAAATGCAGTATCTGCTCCCCGGAGCAACTCAGTTTGTATTTGAATATAGTTCCTCTGTTTGGTTAATGTATGTGTATTAAACGGCTTCCTTTGTATTTATTTGTTACTGTGCTATATGTGTTGCTCACGGCTTTCCATAGTTTTTAATTTCGAACGAGCGTCCTCCAGCTCAAGTTGTTTTACCAGTGTAAATGCATATTCCTTTTTATATGTATCCAAGATTGACAAAGATAGAATATCATTTCAATGTTAACAGTTTTATTTGTGGAACTGTTTAGATATATTTAAATAACGATTTATGACAATTCTAATACTTGCATACAGTACAATATATCATAGTGCATAGAAACTAAATTACGATCTAAATTCATATTTGTGGTGTCCGACGTGGTGGGAGATAGCTTACTGTACAAAAAGACGGCTACTAATATTCCATATTTATCCTTATGCTCACCTTAAGCTTATTTTACTGCGTTGTTTACAATTTTAATGATAGTGAACTTTTTGAACTTGCCGCCAGCAGAACTTTGGGCTATCTGCCATTACTGAATGCTCACGCGTTTATATACGAAAGTCATAAGTGTCACGTGCAATACTAATCCAATAGTTACTTGTCCTTTCCGGGAAGCCGGAACTATACAAAATTACGATATTGAAAAACAAAGAATTGAAATCATCTTGAGTTGTCCTAAGATTGTCCTTTAACATAAAACATTAAAACTAAACAATAGAGCTCATAATATCAATAAAATAACTTGAAATATGCAATCGGACACCACTGCGTGCGCATTAATTTAGCAGACGATATTCGCAAGTACATAGAAGTAAATAACATAAAATATAGTTCATCACAACCATCTAAATATTTACAATATATTTGTGTCCGGCAGGGTATAACCATAAGATATTAAATGTGTGGTATTAAAAATACAATATTAGATCAATTGTCAAGGGGACGAATTGGTATTACGAGAGATAAAATCAACGTTTCATTCCCCACAAAATGGCAGACGGCAAAATCGCCGGTCAGTAAACAATTGCAGTTAAAGTATTTCCCTATGTATACCAGGCATATCAGACGTTTAAATATGAATATTTGGATAACAGAAATGATCCTTAATACGGGAATTACATGATATATAGCATGAAGAAGGTAACCCATGAGTAATAACATACATTCCCTGCCGTTACACTTGTACACAAAAAAAAATGTAAACAATGATAAACTCATTTCAAATTCCAGAGCTTTCACATAAAATCAGTTGCTTTACTGGATATATATCACCCTTGTACCAACATATGTACACACCTAACTTGTAAAACTATGTTTTTGGCTAATGAAATGCCTCCCCCTGTAATTTATTGGAAAAAAGTGAAACTTTGGCCTTTGAAATCCATAAAAAATAGTAAATTAATGCCATATCTTTGATTACAAATGTAAAATGTTTCGCTTGCTCGCTGCGAGCCAAGTTACTATGCGTAAGAACACAACCGTTAAGTTTAAAAGATAATATTTGGTAAAAACTTGAATTTTGACTTGTGATCATAGTAATAAGTATAGTGAATTACTGCCACAATTGTAAAAAATCATTATAAAATATTTGTCAATCTTGCCACAAATTAAGTATTTACTTATAAATTACACCGCACAATTTAATACCTATTTGTTTCAATATAAAATTCCCCAGCACCTTACACTTCACCAACATTTAAAGACAATTAATTCTCCTGAATTGAAAATCTTAGCACATAATTATAATGAAGTTTGAGATCTAAAATGTTAGTGTTCAATTGTCTTCTCCTAGTCTCAAGGGAATATCAAGAGCATCTATTCTCTTTATCACATCGTCTGCGGAGTTATCTCTTTCCTTCACTGCAGTTTCTAACATCTTTAATGTTTGTACAGTTGATGCGTCTTCTTTGTCACTCTTTATTATGTAAGCCAAAGCTTGATATAAATAAAACCGAGATTTGGTTGCCATTGTGTTTTCTTCACTTCCTGTCGGTGTTTTGGTGCCTGGTAATGCTAAAAAGTGGTACTTGAGTAGCAACTCTTCCTTTGAGAATTGTAATTGCTTTCCCGAGTTCAACTCCAGAGCAATACTGGCATACTCCCAATTAAAATACTTTTGCTCTGGAGTTATCTTTTTCCAATTTTTATGTGGCCAACTAACAACTGCTGGGATGGTAATCAGTGGGATGACTTCTTCTTGATTCCACTCCCTTCTCCCAGCTGGGAAAAGTGGCATGCCACCTTTCCTAAGAAGTGTCCTTGCCCGTTCACTTGCGGTAATGTTGCCGTTTAGAGTTGTACAATCTGTGCCCCGATCTTCTGATGCTTTCAGTTCCTTTCTTTTACTTTCTTCATTGTGTTTTTCTTCTTGTATCCTCTTTTCCTCCTTCAACCTTTCTTCTTCGTCCTGTTTCTGTTTTTCCTGCTTCCTTTGTTCTTCTTCCTTCCGTCTGATTTCCTCCTCCTGTTTCTGTTTTTCCTTTCTCTTTAGTTCTGCCTCCTTTAGTCTGACTTCCTCGTCCTGTTTTCGTTTTTCCTGCTTCTTTTGTTCTTCCTCCTTCAGTCTAATTTCCTCCTGTTTCTGTTCTTCCCTTCTCCTCTGTTCTTCCTCCTTTAGTCTCATTTCCTCATCCTGTTTTTGTTTTTCCTGCTTCCTTTGTTCTTCCTCTTTCCGTCTGATTTCCTCCTCCTGTTTCTGTTTTTCCTTTCTATTTAGTTCTGCCTCCTTTAGTCTGACTTCCTCGTCCTGTTTTCGTTTTTACTGCTTCTTTTGTTCTTCCTCCTTCAGTCTAATTTCCTCCTGTTTCTGTTCTTCCCTTTTCTTTTGTTCTTCCTCCTTTAGTCTCATTTCCTCATCCTGTTTTTGTTTTTCCTGCTTCCTTTGTTCTTCCTCTTTAAGTCTGATTTCCTCGTCCTGTTCCTTGTCACCCTCTCCTTGCTTTATTTTCTTAGCCTTCTGTTCCTGGTGATTATTCTTTTTCTTTCTTTTCTCTCCTTCATTCTCTGTCTTCTTACTTTTCTTCTGGCTTGTTGCTTTCTCGTTCAGAATCTCTGGTTCTTTATTATCGCTGTCATCTTCCAATATAATATCTGAGGTTGATGGTGTTTTAAGTGGTGATAACGGATTTGTGATGGCTTTTGTCTGTTTCCCTGGGAAGAGTTCATCTGACGTTTTTATGTCTGCTATATATTCCTCTGAGATGGATAGTTTCCTAGCTACTACTGGCGTCCCTATAGACTTTAATTGACCGTCTATCGAGGCAGAGAAGGTATGTGATCCTGCATACTTGGTGTTTACCAGTGCCGTCATCCTCCTTATTAAAGCATCAAGCATTTTGTGATCTCTTAGAACCAAGTCATTCAAACTTATCTGATAGAATCGTATAGACACTCCAAGGTCTAAATTGAAGATGGCTGTGGTGTCCCCATGTCCTAATGTAAGTTGCTGGAGGGTCAGCCCTTCATAGATGGTGGGGCGTGTTGGTGAATATGACCCATTGGTTTTCTCCTGCTCAACCTCCTCCTCCTCCTGCGTACCTCTAACCATTTTCCTAGGACACTCCCACCCTAGAGTCCAATCCTCCTTCTTCCTGTTGGTGTTTCCAACCCTGTTTAGGAATTCTAGGACCTCAATCCTGGCTTTCATGGCCTCTTGAGAGTTTTCATTTGATGGTGAGATTACCTTTGCATATGTCTCTGGGTAATTCGACATCCAAAACCCATTGTTCTCACTCAAAAAACTGTATGGCATGAGCTCTATTTTGCTGCGGTGGTTGGCCATGATGTGCTCCTTCAGGTCAACCATCCTCCTATACGACTTCTCTTCAGGACACCAAACACAAACGACTGAAAGCCGTTTGTGTGGGGCAGCTGCCAGATGGTTCGTTAGTTGTCTCCTTGTCCTAAACGTCATGGGACACAGCCAACACTTCACCTCCACTTGTGATGATGGTCTCATTCTGAAATCGAATCAAATCTTTAAAATCCCTCCACCATTTATATAGCATATACAATAAAAGATATGTATGTAGTGTGCTGTTGTGTGACTATATTTGCTTATGTGTTTAAAATCCCCCACCCCCCACCCCCCACCCCCCACCCCCCCATATGGCATATGCTGGTAGTAAATGGATCAGCCTATATTTCAATAAAAATATGATATCCACCCCCTTGGTCTCCCTATTCAAAAAAAAAAATCTCAAGCCTCCTCAAGACAAAAAGTTGTCGTTAATTGCTTTCCGCCGCGCAGCTTGCGCATACAATAAAACGCTTGGCAGTACAGTTAAATCTACCATTCCCCTGGCAGGAAGGATCATCCTTCCCTTACAGCCAATAATATGTCCTGAGAAACAATGGCCATTTGTCTCCCTTACATATTCTTCCAGAGTGGATCCAACTCTAGGAATTCCAACATGACTTTCTCCAGTCTGAGATAAGTCATACAGTTACTCTTAAACATAGTAACTCATCAAAACAATTAAAAACGTAACAACTTGTACAACTAATTTCGGCTATTCAAACAACAACTATGAAAGGCATCTCAGGCCTTCCTACTGGAGAACCAAGTTGGCGGATTTTGTCCTTGATAGGGCAGTAGTCTATTGATGTGGTAGACCTTCCCTGGCTGTTTCTTTGACCTTTTCACAAGGTAAGTGATGTCATCAATTTTCCTTGTGACAACATATGGTCCAATTGATGTCAACTTATGACAAATTCCTTTTCTCTTTGATGCATCATAAAGCCATACAGCTTGACCTATTTGTAATTTGCGTTTTACTGCTTTCAAGTCATAGTGACGTTTTTGATACTCAGAATTCTGCTTAAGATGTTTCCTAGCCAGTACATGTGACTTTGACATAGCGTCCTGTAATTCATTTATATATTTATCCGTTTCAGGGGTAGTGGATTCATCTGGTCCATCAGGACGTGGAATAACAGCTTCCATAGGAAGATTTATGTTTCTGCCAAACATCATCACGTTAGGGGTCTGTCCTGTGCTGGCGTGGACGGATGATCTGTATGCCATCATAACCTGTGGCAAAATCTTATCCCAGTTTCTCTGATCATTTTGACAATAAAATGTTAGCATGCTTAGCAGTGTTCTGTTAAATCTTTGTACGCTTCCATTAGATTGGGGTGTTGACTTGTACTTCTAGTTTTGTCAATTTTCAAGAGATCACACAGATCTTGGAACAGCTTTGCTTCAAAAGACCTTCCTTGATCAGAGTGGAGCTGTAATGGTGAACCAAACCTACAAATAAATTCATTCACGATGGTACGGGCAATGGTCAGGGATTCCTGGTCTGGGATAGCATATGCTTCAGTCCATTTAGAAAAGCAGTCACAAAGGACAAGAACATAACGGTTTTATCGTTTTGTTAACGGAAGTGGACCAAGAATATCAATCGCAACACGTTCCATAGGCTCGCCAACCAAGTATTGACCTAATGGAGCCTTGTTTCGTTTAAGTGATTTCCTAGCAGCACATTGGTCACATTCTTTGCAGTACCTTGTTATTGAACTTCTCATAGCTGGCCAGTAAAAGAGCTGCTAGATCCTACTTAGCATTTTATCTGGTCCTAAATGACCTGCAGATGGAACGTCATGGAAATACTTAAAGACTGTCTTTTGGTGTGATTTTGGTACCAGGAGCTGCAATTTGAAGTTGTCTACATCGTCTTTATCAGAACAATAAAATTTTCTATAAAGCATGCCATTGTTTATTGTCAGCCTATCCCATTGTCGCCATATTGTTTTCTGGTATGATGTTCCTTTTGATACTTGGTCCCAGTCAGGTTTATTTTTCTTTTCTTGAAGATATGTCACAATGAGTGACTTGTCTGTGTCTTCCATTTGGCATTGTCTAATACTGTCAGGGTCCCATCCTTCTATGCAATAGCCACTTGGTGTAGCAATAGACTGATTTCCTGTCTGACTTCTTGTACATACTCGTACTATTTCTATTCTTGGTGTTGGCTCCTCATTTTCATGTAACTCCTGGTTAACAAAATCAGATTCTTCAAGTTGAATTTCGTCTGTTTCATCGTCACTTGTGTGGTTTCCAGATTCTTGTTTCTCACATGATTTACAAGGTCTTCTGAACAGAGCATTGAGTGTTTCCTTCCAGCCCTGTGTGTCACTGTCAAATTGTACGTTCCCAGTTCTTCGAGCCATCTTGCTGTTTGACCAGTGGGTTTCTTTAGATTTTTCATCTATGATACAGCTGCGTTATCTGTGCGCAGCAAAACTTTCTGGCCATATAAATAATGATGAAATGTCTTTAGTGCTATAATTACAGCAAGTAGCTCTTTTCGAGTTACACAGTATGCCTGCTCATGTATGCTCATAGATTTGCTCATGTATGCTATAACTCGTTCAAGACTATCTTGAATTTGTGACAAAACTGCTCCGACAGTTTTATCACTTGCATCTGTGTCAAGTATGAATGGCAAATTTGGAAGAGGGTAGGCAAGCACAGGTGTACTTGTTAAAGCATTTTTCAACTGTTCAAATGCCTTTTGACACTCGTCATTCCAAGCAAAACGGCTATTCTTTTCGCAAATTTTGTGCATTGGTCTTGCAATTGCTGCAAATCCCTTAACAAATCGCCTATAGTAAGAACAAAGTCCTAAAAAGCTGCGCACCTGTGTTGCAGATTTGGGGATTGGCCAGTCATCTATAGCTTTTGTTTTCTCTAGATCAGTGGAAATTCCCTCCTCAGACACGATATGTCCAAGGAACCTGACTTGTTTTTGAAAGAAAATGCATTTGGCAGGTTTCAGTTTTAGATGTGCATTTTGTAGGCGTATAAAGATTCTTTCTAACCTTCCAAGACCCTCTTCAAATGTTGAACTTACTGATATGATATCGTCCATATAGAGTAATAGTTCTTTCCACTGTAGCCCTCTGAGAACATTTTCCATAAGACGCTAAAAAGTAGATGGTGAATTTGCAAGTCCAAAGGGCATGACAGTGAATTGATATAACCCTAAACTTGTCAGAAATGCGGTCTTTTCCTTGTCGTCGGGAGCCATGCCAATTTGCCAAAATCCTGAATTTAGGTCCATTGACCCGAAGAATTTCCCCCCAGCGAGCGAGTCTAGGCACTCCTCTACCCTCGGAATCGGGTAGGAATCCTTTTTAGTGACGTCATTCATAATTCTGTAATCAACACAGCACCTAGGCCTGCCATTTTTCTTCATTACAAGGACAATATTCGATGCCCAAGGACTAGAAGATGGTTCAATGATTCCTTTGTCCAACATCCGGTTGACTTCTGATTTTTCCATCTCTTGCTTTCCAAGTGGCATACGTCTAGATCTTTGCCTAAAGGGTATTGCATTTCCTGTATTTATTCTATGTGTTACAAGGTCTGTCCTCCCTATGTCATCATCTGTCCTTGAAAAGACATTTTGGTACTGTGAAAGGAGTCTGGAAAGTTGTTGTCTTTGGTCCTCAATTAAATAAGTTGAACTCCTTTGTAATAAGTCAGTAAGATGTTCTGGTATTTCCTCACTAGCAGTAAAGCAATCTTTCTGTAATGTTCTAATCTGCTCTGGTTTCAAATCATGCTCAGTATATGATTCACATGTTCCTATTGTTTCCTTTTTATACAGTTTAACTTCGTCGTCACCATAGTTGACAACATTAACAAAGTGTGCTTGATCTTTTGTATTTATAATCCCAGGTATTGTTAATGTAGACTTTGCTGTTCCTGTCATGCCCTCTATTAATCCGTATTCTGTTAAATGATTGACACCCGGTATTTCTACAGGCATCATAGTACTCGTCATTGGAGGAATTGTCATGTTGTCTTTAATTTCTACTCTGCAAATCATATTTGCCTTCCCTCCAATCCAACATTGTATTTCCTGGTTATGGATCGTGTGTAAGACCATGCGCTGATAGTTAACTTTACTTACTTCCTTAAGTAAGAAATCCTGTCCAAGTATTCCATCCTGATTAATATTACATATCATAAAAGTTTGATTGAAAATTTCTTGACCCAAATTTAGTTCTAATGTGATTGATCCAATGGCAAAAACTTTATTGCCATTAACGTCAAATATTTCGGACTTGTTTGGTACTAAAGAACACCAAATATTTGAAGGTAATTTCTCGTAAACATCAATACATAATATTGACGCTGTTGAGCCACTGTCAATTAATAAGTTGACAGGAAACCCATAAATTAATCCGTTTGTATAAAACCCATTATCCCAATTATCATCTGTTTCCCCTATATGTCCTGTCCGGACATGTTTTCCTCCCTTTATATCAGGCCTTTTACCTCCTGTCACTAACTCACGA